TAGGATTGCCCAACCTTCCTTCCGAGGAGTGGCTGGTGGGTTTGAACCACCAGCCTTCTGGTTAGCAGTCAAGTGCTTTAGCCACTATGCTGGGGAATAGGTAGGGCTTTTAAAGGGAATGGGCTGAGAGGGACATAGGTCTTAGGAAGGCTAAGAGTGTTTTCTTTTCATTACAGGATGAGTTGTCTTTGTCTTGTAGTTTCTCGATTTCTTCTGGTCAGTGCTAAAGAAACTGTCCTTGGTCTTTCAGGTGTCTCGCACCTGTCTAGAGGGGTTTATTCTGTCAGGGGAGAGAGTATGGGAGAGGACACCTTCAGGCCTCTCTGTCTGTGGGACTGTCTCCACTTCCTTATCTCGGTTGCCCCAGGGGGGCCCTGTGTGTCCTTTTCCAGAATAAATAAAGGCTGGCTATACTATTTACCAAGGAGGGGTCACTGTGAGTTGGATCTGACTTGATGCAGTGAGTTTGGTTTTTTGGTATACTGTTTACTCAGAAGATAAGGGAAGGGAAAAACAGTGAGTTAGTCACTAAGATTAATGTCTACTTTAATCCTGCCTGTTAGTTTGTAGAGGTTTTGCAGGTTTCAGTGAGGGGCTCCTTCAGCCTTCTATTCAGCCTTTCTCAGTATCACTACCAAAATAGATTGTCCAATCTTCCTTCCAAGGAGCTGGTGGTGGGTTTGAGCCACCAGCCTTCTGGTTAGCAGTTAGATACGTTAGGCGTTATGCCACCAGAGCTTCTATACCTTCTGAGGATATTTTTAAAATTATTTTTATATACAAATTTCTACAAACATATTGTTTTGACTCACAACAGTCAGTGACCCTCAAATGTGACCCTGGAATTGTACAAATTGTCCACAGAATCCAAAGTCATGAAATGGCTCCATTCCATGTAGAATGGAGGCTTCTTAAAGTTTCATGGTCTCCGTGAAAGTCTTGCCGTATCCAAACAAATATTCTGGAAATCAAAGGCAGATCAAGGAGATGTAAAAGAAAGAAAGTGACTGGCAAGAATTTTTAAAGTTTAATTGAAAACTCAATTCCGAGATATCTTGATTTGTTTCTTATTACTAGTTACTAATTACTAGGAGCTCTGGTAGTGTGGTGCCTAAAAGGAGGGGTCACTATGAGTGGGGTCCAACTCGACGGCACATAACAACAACAACAACAATTATTACTAATTATTTTTTTCATTCTAATAACTAGGTTTGCATATGTAAGACTTGTTTCACTCTGTTTATTTCCAAAACACAGCAAAAGGCTGAAAAGTATATACAGACAGATCTGTTTGTGATATTTTGTTTTACACTTGGTGGTATGGTAATTCAGTAATTTATTAAGAACTGGGAATTTTACCCATAGAGCTATGGGAAACAAGAACAATTAAAAATCACTTTCTTTCAACTTGGAGAGGAGAGTTGCAGGGAAAACTATCTGCTATATTCTCTCAATGAGATGGATTGACACAGTGGCTGCAACAACGGGCTCAAAACTTAACAACGATTCTAAGGATGGCGCAGACTGGGCAGTGTTTTGTTCTGTTGTACACAGGACTATTATGAGTTGGAATCAACTCTGCAGTGTCTAACAATAATATATTCTCTGAACCATTCTCCTTAGGAAGCAAGAATATTTCAGGTTTCCCATTTCTTAGAAGTCTCTCTAAATCATTAAACCAAGACCAAGAGAGGCCCAAAGGATGGGAGTGAAGGCTGGCATGCTTCAGGCTGATGGCGGCCCCATCCCTCGGTCTTAGAGCGCAGCAACAACAGGGCATTGAAAGGGACAGATATATGATTTTGAGATTTGATTTTTAATACCTAGCATTTATTGAACTCTACACATGTGCTGGTACTGCACTAAGATACTCACTTAACTGCACACCTAGCTAGTGAAGAAGGTTTTATCATTACCTTCCAAGCACAGATGAAAACGAGATTGGGAGATGTTAAGTAACTTGGCCAATGTCACATTAGAAAGGCAAGTATGATGTGTGTGTATATGTATATAATATAAATGTACATGGTGTGGATATGTTTCTGGAGAGGGATGGGGTCTCAGTTTTGGGAGAATCCTAAATCATGAGCATGATCCCCTCTCCCTCTGCCCTTCCCCTCTTTTTTACTCTTAATACCTCCACCCCACTTCCAGAAAAATGTCTGGGGAAGACATCGTCCCCCTTCTTTCTACTTTGACATTATGAAGAGCTTAATACCAACTGTATTGCCAGAAATTGCTTTTCTTGGGCTACGTTGTTGTTGTTTGTTATGTGCCGTCGAGTCGGACCCAACTCATAGCAAGGGGTTCCTCCTTGGGTTTCTGAGATAGTATCAATAGGGAAATAGATTGCCCAACCATCCTTCTGAGGAGTGGCTGATGGGTTTGAACCACCAGACTTCTGGTTAGCAGTCAAGGTACTACTCTACCAGAGTTCCTTTCTTAGGTTATATATCACATTATATCACTTCTACAGACACCACTCGGAGTGGCAAAGCTGCTTGGCGATGACAATGGAGGGTGTACATATAGCACCGTTTGTTCTACTGTTTATTTGTTATCACTGTACTGCAAATCCAGGCACCCCTGCACCTGCGGATTTTACTACTCTGTGCAAGGCAACTACATAGAACTGGAGGGTGCAAGAGTGATGGTGTTTACCATTGAAGTAGGCTGCACAAAGGAGACTAAATAGCAGAGGCATTGAGTAATCAAGCCCTGAAGTCAAACCATATAGTTTCAAATTCTGCTTCCACTACCATGTGCTGGATAACCTTGGGCCTAGGTTTCCTCATCTGTATAATGGAGAGAATGATACCACCAGCCTCACGAGCTTGTCATGAATGTTCAATGATGTCAGGAATGCAGAATGGCTGACCTACAGCAAAGACTTAATAAATATTGGCTATTATTGTTGAAAGGAGTTCTGGTGTTGCAGTGGTTAAGGTATTCAGCTGCTAACCAAGAGGTCAGTGGTTCAAACCCATCAGATGCTCCAAGGGAGATAGATGATACAGTCTGCTTCTATAAAGATTACAGCCTTGGAAACCCTGTGGAGCAGTTCTACTCTGTCCCATAGGGTCACTATGAGTCACAATCGACTCAATGGCAATGGTTTGTTTTTATTGAGAATAATCTATGAGTCACAGCCAGTACTAAGGATGCAATGCATAGCCTCTGCTCACAACATCTAGGTAGGATGTGCCCAGGGCACATATATTTTTTTTAACTAATAATACAAGGTGGACCACTGTCATGTAAAAGGACAAATGCATGTTATGGGAATTCAAAAGAAGAAAGAATCTCAGAGTTAGAAAAAAAATTTACTTACAAATGGCAGTTCTGAAAGGAAAGAAGACATTGCCAATGTCACAAGCTAATTTGGAACGAGCTGGGAGTAAAATCCAGGTCTTCTGATTCATCCTGTAAGACTGTTTCATGAAACTATGCTGTGATAGCAACAATGAAAAGGATCATAAGACCGGTAGCTAACATTTAAAAGGCACATTTTACATGCATTGTCTTATTAAATCCTTTCAATAATTCTACAAGGGAGTACTATCTATCTCCCTGTAATTTTATTTCACATTTTACGAATGTGAAAATTGAGGCACAGGAGAGAAAAGTAACTTGCCCAATTAATGTCCTTCAGCCAGAAAATGGCTGACCAAGTACTTAAGCCTAGGTTTCTAACCAGTTATATTGTAGGGCTGAAAGGGAGAGCTGGACAGGGTGGCCAGAAGTAAGACGTATGGCAGGCCAAATCTTTGTGGTAGGAATAGACATTGACAGAAAGTGAATGGGTGCTTTTACTGGAAAAGGAGATTCAAGTAGAGTTCAAAATAAGGCTGTAGAACAGAGTATGAGGCTGATTGAAGGAGACTTGAGTGCCAAACCAACCAAACACCCAAAACCAAATTCACTGCTGTCAAGTCAGTCCTGACTCATAGCAACACCTCCTTAAGGTTTCTGAGGCATTACCTTTACGGAAAGTGGATTGCCCAATCTTCCTTCTGAGTAATGCCTGGTGGGTTTGAACTGCCAGCCTTCTGGTTAGCAGTCAAATGCCTTAGGCACTACACCAGTAAATATTCTGTTGGTTTGTTGTTTGGTTAGGGAGACAGGAGGGCAGAAGATGGAATATGACAATTCTACCATTGTATATTTTAAGACTAATCTGGTCACAGAGAGAATGAGGAGGGGAGTCCAGTGGCAGGGAGACTAGTCAGCGGCTAACTGCAACATCTCTGATAAAGGATGGAGTACTATTCGGGTATTTCCCAACTTGGAGGGACACACAGCCGCAAGTCCACTTTCTGATCTAACCGTGAGGGTCAGAAGAGACTGACATTCTCCTCCCATCTCTACCCACAGGCTGTGGCACTTCTGTATCCCTACTGGTAGACAAAGCTCTTGGAGAACCATGAAGATTTTATTTCGCTACCAGACATTCAGATTCCTGTGGCTTATGAAGCCACCTGGCCGGCACTTTCACAAAGATTACCAGCTGTGGGCACCTCTGACTCTTGATGACCTTGAAGCCATGAATCGCTGTGAGAGGGCGCTGCCTAAGAACTTTAACTTTGCTGGGGATGTGCTGGACCAGTGGGCTCAAAAGGAGAAGGTATATGATGCTAGGCTTCTGATTTGCTTCTCTAGTGCTATTCTAAGAGAAAAATACCACAAATGGACAGCTTTAACAAACAGGGATTTATTCTCTTACAGTTTAAGAGTCTAGAAGTCCGTGTTCACAGTGCCAGCTCTAGGGTCTGGGTGAGAGGCCCTCAACCTTGGGCTTCAGCTCTGCCTCTTGTTCCCAGCCCAGTGGAGCTGGAGGCAACTCTTACTCAGGCAGCTGCTGACTGTTGAGGCTGACAAACCCAAGATCGAGAAGTAAAATGGCACAGTCCCCAAATTACCAAGCAACACAGCAGGTCACTAATTCAAGTCCATTAACAGTCTCAAGATAGGCAGACAATATGGCAGACCATTGAGATGAAGACTCAGCCAAATGCAGGATCAAGATGTGCCAAAAGCTAGATATCTTCCTCAAAGTGTCTTCTTACATACTGGAAGCAGGTCATATACCTAAGGCAGCTACTCAGCTGCTCACAGTAGATTCCATCATGGAATTTACTACCAATCTTATCATGGAGAATAACTACATCCAGCTGCCCAGCCACTCAAGAACAGGCCCAGTCAAGTTGATACACAACCTTAACTATCACAGCTTCTATTAGATGCTTGGTGCTTTCTTATCTCGCAGCCTTCCACTTTTTTGTTCTGTGGTCTGCTTGTCAAATTTAATTCAATTATTTCATCCCTTCCTCTTGCTTTCTTTTGTTTCTTTTCCAATTGCCCTCTTCCCAAGGAAGATCTTTGATTCTCAACTACATATGGCTGTCTTTCTCTGAAGCCTCCACAACATTCACAGTTATTCCTTTTTTTTTTTTCTTTTTGTTCCTTTTTTTTTTTTTTTCTCCAAGTTCAAAGCAACAGCTGTTTTATCCCCATTCATTGTTCAGGCTGGTCACAGGCTTATCCAAAGAATAGTAACCTGACTTTGGTTTCAGGATAGAGCATCACCAATGAATAGTCATGGTTAGGGTAATCAGAAAAGGGCAGAATCAGAAGTTGAGAAGAATAAAGCAAGCAAATATGCTCAACAGAGTGTTTACAGCTGCAGGACAAGGTCTCTGCTTTCTGACCTCCACCGCATGCCAGTTACAAAGCTAAACACTTAGCCTATCAGTGCTTACCAAAATGCACTGCAAGAGGTCAGACTCAGAAGATGATGTTAGCTACTAGGTATGCTGCTGCTGTTGTTGTTAGTTGCCACTGAGTCAATGCCAACTAGTGGTGACCCCATGTGTGCAGAGTAACACTGCTCCACAGGATTTTCAAAGTCATGACCTTTGGGAAGTGGATCGCAGGCCTGTCGTTCAAGGTAACACTGGATGGGTTTGAAAATTTCCACTGGTAGTAGAGCGCATAACTGTTTGCGCCACCCAGGGGTTCCACCACTAGATATGCAAGGCATTAAATAAGATTGAACCAATCCTTAGTAAATAGAGGGAAAAGTCTTCATTTAAAGTCATCTCTAATACTAGCTAAGAAGTTCCTGGGTGGTGCAAATGGATAATACGCTCAGCTGCTAACCCAAAGGTTGGTGGTTTGAATCCACTGAGAGGTGCCTCGAAGAAAGGCCTGCCTGCATACTTCACCGCATCAGCTACTGAAAGCCCTGTGGAGCACAGTTCTAGTACGACACACAGGGCTTGCCCTGAGTCAGAGCTGACCTGACGGCAACGAGTAATACCTGCTAAACTCTCTTTTAAACAGAGAGAACACGTGGAAACTGATCATCTCTCCCTAAAATTTAAATGTAGTTTTATTACCAATATACTTATTTTGCAATAACCTACTATTATTTATTTATTTATTTTTATTAGGATTTGGGTGAAGATTTACAGAGTAAATTCACTTTTCATACAGCAGTTCACATATACTTTGTCTCATATCATTGACCAAAATTTACAATGCAGCAGCTCCCCTCCCACTTCCTCCCCATAGTTACCTCCTCCCAGTGTCCATCCCTTCATACTCTTCTGCACCCTGAG